GTCGGAAAAAATTCGACTAGATTGTGAACATAAAATCAGAATAGGGTCGAAATTTCTATCGAAACATAGTGCAGCACTGTTTAGCACAATTTTTTTTTTGTAATGGTCGAAACATACCACACTTGTGTCGAACACACTATTGTTTTGGTCGTTTCGCTCAAAACATAGCCAGTTTGAGTCGAATCTGTTGAAAGAAAGCACGCTTGGTTCAAACGCATTTTTCGTTTGGTCGAGTCGTTCAAAACATGACTAGTTTGGGTTGAGTCGGTCAAAACAAAGCATGCTTGTTCAAATGCATTTTTTGCTCGCAGCCAGTTTGGGTTGAAGTGGTCGAAACATAGCACATTTATGTCAACAAAGTCGAACATTTTTTTCATTTTGTGGAGTCGCTCGAAACATAGCTAGTTTGGGTCGAGTCAGTCGAAACATTGCTAGTTTGTGTCAAGTCCGTCAATACATAGCACACTTACGTCCAACACAATCGAACAGATTTTTCTTTTGGTCGAGTCGTTCAACACTTAGCCAGTTTGGGTCGAGTCAGTCGAAACATTGCTAGTTTGTGTCAAGTCCGTGAAAACATAGCACACTTATGTCCAACACAATCAAACAGATTTTTCTTTTGCACGAGTCCTTCAAAGCACAGCCGGCTTCGATCGAGTCGGTCGAATATGAGTACTTTTGTGTCCAATACTGTCCATCAAATCTTTGCTCGAAACATAGCCAGTATGGTCGATTCGGTCGAAACAAAGCACGCTTGGTTCGAGTCGTTCAAAACACATCCAGTTTGGGTCGACTCGGTAGAACAATAGGACACTTATATCCAACACAGTCAAACACTTTTTCGTTTGGATCGAGCTTGTCGAAAACTAGCCAGTCTTGGTCAAGTCGGTCAAAATAAAGCACGCTCGGATCGAGTGCATTTTTCGTTCGGTCGAATGGTTTGGAACAGAGTCAGTTTGGTTTGAGTCGGTCGATACAGAGCTTGCTTGGGTCGAACGCAATATTTCGCTCGGTCGATTCGTCCGACTAACAGCCAGTTTGGGTCGAGTCGGTCGAATATTAGTACACTTATGTCCAACAGTTCGAACAGATTTTTGTTCGGATCTGGCTTCTCAAAACATTGCCATTTTGGGTCGAGTCGGATAAAAATATATTGTTCAGCGCAATTTTTTTTATTCAAATATTTTTTAGATTGCCTAAAACGTCATTTTTAGCCTGTTTTTTCAAAACTTTGTCTGCGACGCAGAAAATTTCTTGAGGTCTGTTTAGTTTTTTCTGTTTAGTTTTTTCAAAAAACCCTGAAATCGATCCCCCCTCCCGCCCCCTACTTAGAAAAACTTCTGCGCACGCCACTGCGCGGATTTGATCAATAGACCCACTGTGCCTTTATTTAAGGTACCTGTAGTTTTGTTTTTCGAATTCAAACCTGTTTTCGAACTCATAGCTCAGTCCTTTTGAATGTCAATCCGAGCAGCATGAACACCTGGGTTGATGTATTTGACTTAGGTTTCGAGTGAACATGGTCGATAGTTTGACCCCAAATCCTTGGTCGAAAACACCCCTTTCAGTCGAAAACAATTTCCAGTTGTAGTCGAAAACATGGTCGACACAAGGTTGAATACTTTTTCCAGTCACCTTCCAAAACGAAGTCTCATACAATGTGAAGTCGGAAAAAATTCGACTAGATTGTGAACATAAAATCAGAATAGGGTCGAAATTTCTATCGAAACATAGTGCAGCACTGTTTAGCACAATTTTTTTTTTGTAATGGTCGAAACATACCACACTTGTGTCGAACACACTATTGTTTTGGTCGTTTCGCTCAAAACATAGCCAGTTTGAGTCGAATCTGTTGAAAGAAAGCACGCTTGGTTCAAACGCATTTTTCGTTTGGTCGAGTCGTTCAAAACATGACTAGTTTGGGTTGAGTCGGTCAAAACAAAGCATGCTTGTTCAAATGCATTTTTTGCTCGCAGCCAGTTTGGGTTGAAGTGGTCGAAACATAGCACATTTATGTCAACAAAGTCGAACATTTTTTTCATTTTGTGGAGTCGCTCGAAACATAGCTAGTTTGGGTCGAGTCAGTCGAAACATTGCTAGTTTGTGTCAAGTCCGTCAATACATAGCACACTTACGTCCAACACAATCGAACAGATTTTTCTTTTGGTCGAGTCGTTCAACACTTAGCCAGTTTGGGTCGAGTCAGTCGAAACATTGCTAGTTTGTGTCAAGTCCGTGAAAACATAGCACACTTATGTCCAACACAATCAAACAGATTTTTCTTTTGCACGAGTCCTTCAAAGCACAGCCGGCTTGGATCGAGTCGGTCGAATATGAGTACTTTTGTGTCCAATACTGTCCATCAAATCTTTGCTCGAAACATAGCCAGTATGGTCGATTCGGTCGAAACAAAGCACGCTTGGTTCGAGTCGTTCAAAACACATCCAGTTTGGGTCGACTCGGTAGAACAATAGGACACTTATATCCAACACAGTCAAACACTTTTTCGTTTGGATCGAGCTTGTCGAAAACTAGCCAGTCTTGGTCAAGTCGGTCAAAATAAAGCACGCTCGGATCGAGTGCATTTTTCGTTCGGTCGAATGGTTTGGAACAGAGTCAGTTTGGTTTGAGTCGGTCGATACAGAGCTTGCTTGGGTCGAACGCAATATTTCGCTCGGTCGATTCGTCCGACTAACAGCCAGTTTGGGTCGAGTCGGTCGAATATTAGTACACTTATGTCCAACAGTTCGAACAGATTTTTGTTCGGATCTGGCTTCTCAAAACATTGCCATTTTGGGTCGAGTCGGATAAAAATATATTGTTCAGTTCAACCCGGACAACTGGCCTATGCTACTTGTAGCACGATACAATCGAATGTAAAAATCACCCAAATAAATAACAGGAGGAAAATTTATTTGGTTCCGTTCTGGCACAGTTTGTGGTCCACTGTTTTTTGTTCTGTTTTTAGATGTAAATATTACAATCAAAAATGGAGGGTCTCTTAACTGTCGTCACGCTCGCATATTCAGTCGTTTTCTGAAGTTTATTGAACGGACGAGTGTGATGCCAAGTAAGACCCTCTTGTCTTAATTACAATCTCTGAATAGAGATTCTAAGAATAGAAATTCTAAATTTTAGGACAAATTCAATATCATTTTCAATGAACCGATATGATTCTCAGATTTACTTTACAAAAAAAAATTTTGGTTCCATTCTCGCACAGTTTTTGGTTCACTGATATTTTTTTTCGTTCCCTTTTTAGATCTAATATTACAACCGAAATTGGAGGGTCTCTTAACTGTCGTCACACTCTCATATTCAGTAATTTTCTGAAATTTATTGCATGCACGAGGGTGACGCTAAGTAAAAGACCCTCTTGTCTTTATAATTCCAATCTCTGAATAGAGATTCTAAGAATAGAGAATCTAAATTTTGGGACAAAATCAAAACCATTTTTAATGAACCGATTTGATTTTCAGATTAACTTAACAAGAAATATCTATTTTTCTATAAATCTTTTGAAAAAACTATAAATAAGCACTCCAAATAAATAACTGAAAATTATCTATAGAACTATTAAGTTCTCCAAATTTACAGCTGAAAAATTTTGAAATCTTGAGATTCTCTGTTTTCTCTTTTCAAAATTCTGTACAACTACCAGCCAAATTACAAAATTTATCTCAACGTGCATTAATCATATTGTACATAATATCAAAGTCAAAGGATCCAATAGGTTGTAAAACAAACAATCAGTGAGCCTTATAATTAGACATCTTGGTAAGATTTTAAAAAATGATTGATATTGTTTTCAGAAGAGCCTTTATCTTGACGAAGTCGGAAATGATTCTTTGTTTCATTTAAAAATTGAAATTAAAGATGAAACAATTGTTTTAAACAATCGGTGAGCCTTATAACTAGGCATATATTTTGGTATGATTAAAAAAATTGAATGATATTGTTTTCAGAAGAGCCTTTATCAAACAATTTGTTGATGAAACAATTGTTTTGTATAACGTGTTGCTTTTGTAGTTTTTGGTACGTTAAAAAGTCACTGCAACAAGCATTACCCGGTTTGAAGTTGCATTTCAATTCGGAAGTGCATCATTGTTATTGCTCTGTTTTGACATATTTCTGGGATACACCAGCACAAATACATAAATTTACTCTGTTTTAACTTTCTATTCTTTTACCCTTAACTATGAAAAAAGATTGATGTGACATCGATGAAGCATTACCACGATAGCACTGATCAGTGATAAGTTCGAGACAAAAATTGCGGTACTGTTCTAGCAGCGAGTCAATTCTGAATCAGTTTTGTTTGGGAGGGACGCAGTTTCATTTTCAAAAAATGTACCATTTTTAATTTTGTGACCCAAAATTACCCTGTTTTCAGAAACTTCATTTTCTCAAGCCATTAAACAATCATCGCTGACCCAGTTTCATGTTTTCGCGGAATAGAAATGCGTCTCAACATGGTTTATAGATTTTTCGTCGTGTAAAGCCAATTTAATTTTTTTTTTGACGGTAAAGACATGTAACAAAAATCTAAATTCAATTCGAAGTTTTGAAGAAAAAAAATTCAAAACCAAAAATTGCGGTAAGTTTTTAAACTGATTACTTCACACCAAACAAGCGTGTCAATAAATAGTTTCAAGCTAGAAATCGCCATTCGTACGCACCGAAAGATGGAGGCTGTTTCCAGTACTGTTGCAGGACAAAACAGAGAACAAGTGAAAAATATTACTGTAACAGTACTGCTCCAGAACTGCAATTGTTTTTCTGGGTTCTCCGTTTTTGTCCCCAACAGTACTGCAAAAATTACAACTGGGTTTTATTCTGAAACAGTACTGATTGTTACTGGCATGCCAATCCGGAAAATTGATTTGCTTCGATTGTTCTCATTTTCACAGTTTGAATAAAAAGGTGTTCTTTCACGCTTTATGCTGGCCATTCAGTTTAGTTATACTAAAAACATTTTTTTCAAACGCGGTTAACCTACAAGCTAGCACAAACATGTATAACTTGTCATACCGCATCTATTTGACTGTGACTTGACGCTCCTCCAGTTTTTACGACTTGAATTTAAAAAGCATATTAAATATCCGCTTGCTCTTTTTCCGATAACAATGACAACATTGACAACAAGGAGCGGAAGGATGATTCAGACATTGGACCCTTTGTTACTACTTTTATTTTTGCTTTTTTGAACCGTTTTTGTGGTCATGTCCCTTGTAAATGTTTTCGGAACATACTTTTACTATGTCGCAATTAAAACTAATGCTATGCTATTTCCGTGAGGAGAAAAATCAATCCGTAATTAATCAGACAAAAATGGATCCTCCTGTATCTACTCCAAAAATGAAGTTTGAGTTTATGAATTTTTTTCTCCTCTAAGTTTACAGTTAAGCACAGTGTTGCTTGAAAAACTCGGCAGACAACCACCAGTTTGAAAAAATAACATATTTATGCTTTTATTTGTAGGTATGGAGATTCTTAAGTTGGTGCCATAAGGGGAGATTGTTAAGTACATCCAAAGTACTTTAATTAAAGCCGGTATAATTGTGTTTATATAAACAGAATTCGTATAACCTCCTTGGTAAATTTTCATTGAAGGTTTCAGAGGAAAAAACACGTTCAACGCTAAATTCGACTTGCGCTTCTTTTTTTCACGCTGCGATTTGTTTTGTTCAACTCAGCATTACGCGTGTTGTTAATTTTTTTGCGTATGTTTAATTCAGTTAGAGAGAAAAAACATCTTAAGGATTTTTTCTCCATTTCCCATCAAAAACCTGTGTAAAAAGCAACAATTTTATTTCAATTAATTACTTCGTTGGCTCTTCATCATTGACATATTGAATGTTTTGAACGGTAATTGGCGATACTTAGCTGACTTTATCGATGATATATTGACATTTGACTGTACTTTTCAACTTTCTGAGTAGAATGTTTTAAATAGTTGGCCATACTCTCGAGCAAACAGCTGGTTGGCAATGAAAACTATTCAGTTCAAGAAAGCGCGAGTGTTATTTGCTGGTATCTTAGTTTGTTTTCTCGCTATATTACTCATCAAAAACTACAGCGAACAAATAGGTCGTGCCTTCAGCAAACGCAATGCAGGCAATGTGGGTGAACCAACGCTGGGAAAAAATGTACCCATGACCCCGAAGCACGAGCCCCCGATTGAAGATGCAGGGAGCATAGAATCAGGCTGGGTCAAACCGAAGATTGCCCGTCCAGGTGATGACGGGAGACCTGTTATTTTGCTGCCTGAAGAAGAAGAAAAAGCCAAAAATCAGTGGAGTCTTAATGAGTTTAACATGGTTGCTGCGGCTAAGATCCCTTTAGACAGAACGTTACCAGACTTCCGGCATAAAATGTGCAAAGATATCGATTATAATGTTACCAAATTGCCGAAGACGAGTATCATTGTTATTTTCCATAATGAGGAGTATTACACTTTGCTGAGAACTGCTACAAGTTGTTACAATAGATCGCCACCTCATTTACTGAAGGAGATTATTTTGGTTGATGATTTCAGTGAGCGAGATCATTTAAAAGGTAATTGAGAGTTAAACTGTTTTTTGGTGAAAATTAAAGCCTTTTTGCTTTCTGTATCAACCATAAATGTACTCATATTTGTACATTGGGTGCAGTTAAAGAAAAACATGTCGAACTAATTGCTGCTTGAGTTTTGAGATTAAGTTTTTGAGTTTTTTTATTGGAAAAATACTTAATTGAAAAGCTCTTTGGGCAAAACTATTAAATATAGAAAAAGACTTGAGCCGATTTTTTACAATTGTGAAAAATCGGCTGAAGTCTTTTTTCTATATTTAATAGTTTTGCTCAAAGACCTTTTCAATTTAGTATTCTTTCCGAACTCAAAAACTAATAGCTGGTATTTTCAGAGCCCTTAGAAAGGTACGTGAACGCGCACTACGAGGGCAAAGTGAGGGTGGTTCGGACTCCCTCGCGACACGGACTGATTAGGGCGAAGAACTTCGGCAGCAAGCACGCCACAGGGGACGCCCTCATCTTCCTCGACTCCCACTGCGAGTGCACGGAAGGCTGGCTGCCCCCTCTGCTGGCCGCTCTCAGGGACAACCCCAAGACAGTGGTGCAACCAGTTATTCCAGGTTAGGTCGGCTCTAAATCTTTTCAAAATAACTCACATCTTTACCTTACTTTTCTTTTCAGTTTGACAAGAAATTGTTGCGAAAGGTTTAAATATTGACTCCATTTTGTTTACAAATTTTTTACGGAATTGTAGTAGTTGTTTGAAACAAAGTTGACGCGCGAGTTTTAATCAAATAAATTTCTCAAAAACAAAAATCTTCTGCATTTTTCCAACCTTGATTTTTGCAAGATTTGAAAGGAAAACTACTAATTTCTGTTTTATTCCATTGTAGGAATCGACCAGCAGACCCTCGCCTTCCAGCAAAGCCAAGTCTCCCTGTCTGCCCAGGGCACTTTCGAGTGGAGCATGCTGTTCTTTTGGCGAGATATCCCCCAACACGACCAGAAGCTACGCAAAACCCCTGTTGACAGAATCAGGAGTCCCACTTTGGCAGGGGGTCTGTTCGGACTCATGAGGGAGTGGTGGGAGCACTTGGGAAGGTTGAACTGATTATTCAAATAAAAACTATAAGTTTTGTCATTTATTTGCCTTGTTTTCCCTTCGCAACAAAACTTTAACGCCAGTTCTTTTAAAAAGATAATACTTCTAATGTACTCATCAAAAATTAGGGAAAATGGGCAGTTAAACGGTCAAAATCTCATACAATTTGGAATTAAAAAGAATAATTAGGGAAAGTAGAATGAAGGTCCTTGTTTAAGATATGACGACGGCATGGAGTTATGGGGTGGAGAGAACCTGGAGCTGTCTTTTAAGTCGTGGTTGTGTGGGGGTCAGGTTCAGTACATCCCCTGCAGTCACGTGGGACATATCTACAGGGGAAAACATCCTTATCATTGGTACAAGCCAGGCCCAGACAGAGCATTCACAGTAAATGCCAGGTAGCTCCAATTGATATTCAATCAATATCTACCAATTATCTACAACAAAACTCAAGTTTTTGTTCTGGGGTATATTCCTATAGACCACTTACAAACCTTCGTCTTCAATAAAAACATTTTTTTAAAAATCTTTTCAGATCACACGTGAGGCGGCAATTGGTAACAGGCTACAATTCGTAGCAGGGTTGGGAGTGTTTTAAGTCATGATTTAAAACAAGGCAAAAACAAGTTTGAAAATGCAAATTTTAAAACAGTGTTGGTTGTTTTACAAAGTTTTCCGCTAAAAATTAGGGATTACTAGGAGTTGAAGCGCGGCGAGGCGATAGGGTTATCAAAATGAGACAGATGCTGGGTTTCAAAACAGCGTTCGTAGATATTGCTGCTGGCTCTCGTTTCCGCCGGAATTCCCAACGAAAATTCTCAATGGCTGGGAAGAGACTTTTGAAAAATTAAGAAACCAAATGGATGCTAAAATGCATAATGTTTGATTTACCGCGACTGAATAATCTTTTTGCCCAACGCTGATTCGTAAGAAGCAACAATTGGTAACAGTAGATTAAGAGGGGAACACTGACTCAGCGTAGTATTCCTTTCGTGCCGGTTGTAAGCGCAGCCGAGCTAAGCGGAGGAAGCGCATCCTACTTGCCAGTGCCTTGTTACGAATTGTCGGCTTTTACGAATTGTATAGCTCTACCCAGCTCACATACCGTTTCCCCGCCGGGTGAAATTTAAACCCAAGGAAAATTTAGTGCAAATTCAAAATGCCCAATAGTATTGAAACTTTCATGCATGCATTGTAGGTACTCAAATCCAGGCACATGTGGTCTTCTTCATAAATACCTTTGTGAAATCAATGGTCATGCACAAAGTCTATTTTAGCTAATGATGGCGGAGAAGCGGTGAAAGAGATAAGGCTGTTGAAGCAATATACGCCATTTGGATAAACGCCTTCCCACGCTATGGCAAAAACATCTTTCTTTTTTACGGCAGTTATTACGTTTAAACACTTTTCGGCTTCATAAGTTAGATATCGAACGATATGGTGAAATTATTTTAAGAAATTTTTTTCCAGTCATAAACTTTAAATCAAAAGTTCTATGATATTTTACGTTATACCAAAAAAAGCATCCATCGTGCGGTATCTCCATCCAAAATGGGAGCTCAAACTCCAGTTCAAACTAAGTTTCTTATTCTCAGGCGTCTAGCTGAAGTGTGGTTGGACGAATACAAGAAGTTCTTCTACGAAGTAGCTCCCGATGCCAAGACACTCGACATGGGAGACTTATCAGAGCAACTGGCCAATAAGAAACGCCTCAACTGCAAACCATTCAAATACTTCATAACTGACGTCGTCATTGACATGCATCCACCAACCCTGAAAAACAAAGCTGAAGGCAGCATGAAAACCTTGTATGATAATTTGTGTGTGGATAGTTACAATGAAAAAACAGGACCAGCTAAGTTGTTTTCTTGTCATCACCAGGGTGGCAACCAGGCCGTATCTTTATCAGAAATAGGCGAAATCAGACTACATATCACATCGTGCCTCGAAAACTCGCCCGGAACTTCACAAGTGTCCATGGCCCAGTGCAACGGAAGCCAGAAACAGATGTGGGATCATAAAAAGGGGGAGGGGTGGCAGGTAATTCACAAAGTGACACACCAATGCCTCACTCAACACGAAACGACAATCAAATTAGCCGACTGTATCGACGAATCGAAAAAAGAAAGTAAGCCGCAGAAATGGTTGTTTGATAAGTACTACGACCCTCCGCAATAAAAAAGGTGCATATAACTGACGATTATTAAAAACCGTAAATTATTTATAACCACATATTCCTTTAAATGTTTTCCATATTTTCTTTCACTGGACTGAATCAATTATCTGTCAAAATCAGTTTTTGAGCGCAAAATTTAAAAGGAGTAAATTATGATTCATGCATTATAAATTAATTTTAATAACTTTGCCCTACATTATCTAAAATTATCAATTGAAAAACTACAGAAGACGTGGGTTTGTTTCGAAGAGTTCAACAAAATGCTGAAGAAATTTTTAATAGAAAAATTGTCTCCTTGTAAACATTCATTTGAACTGTCCAGACTCATAAATTATGAGGTCGCCATGAATTTTTTTCTTCGCTTTCTTTTCAGGAAAAAATGAAAATTGTTCAGGCTCAAATTACGTTTTTGCTGATTGAACTATGATTTTTTCTAAGCTCAGTTGAGTTCTTTTGTCAAAAAGAAGGCAAACTCCACTATCGAACATTAAAGTTGTTAAAGTCGAGAACAACTTGATCGACTTCTAGAGTTGAAAATAGAATTTCCTTATCAGGTTTTCCAAACTTATAAAACTTTAAATATCCATTGATCTAATTTTCTCAATTTGGGTTAATTAAATCAAAACAAGCTCCTCGTTGTGCTAGAAATTCAAAATGTTTTGAGGGCTTCGAAAGTAAATCGTAAGTTTTGTAAATTCGAAAGTTGATTTTTTTCTGTCTACTTCCGTTCATTAATTTTTTTCCAACTGTCTATTGGAAAAGTTTTTTTCCAACAGTCTGTTAATTAAGTTTGAAACACAGTTAATAGTATAGAAGTATTCGGCTGAAGACAATTTTGGCTGTTTATATCAAAAGTAATGTTCTTAAGTTTCAATTTATTATGACCAATTAGTTGGCGTCAATTCATTTTAGTACGATTATGAGCGGGAATAAGTTGCCACGCAAGAACACGTTGTGTATCGAAATGTTACTAACCGAACAGATATGGCAACTGCATTTTAGTCTAAGGACAGCATTCTCGCTGGGCAATTCGAAGATTTCTGTATCAAACCTCCCATATTGTCAACTTTCTGCATTGAACTGGTCTGATTTTCAAAAACCACTAAGCAGATATGTTTCTCACTTTCATTGAAATATGGAACAATAAACATTATTCTGAAACGGTTTGCGGACGAATTGTACAAACAAAATGCAGTCAACAATTTTTCTAACACGCTGTTAAACAAAAAAAAATTGTTTTTGGTGTTCGACCAGAAAAGTTTTACTTTATACAAATTTTTAGAGCTGTGACTTATTGCGTGGAATTTTTTTTTTGTTTTTTCCATCTTAGGTTTTAAAAAATTAAAGAGATCATTCTGACTGGACACAAAACAACCCTTGTAGTTTAGATTTTTTGTTTGAAAAAGAAATTGAATCTGCACTACGTCATAGACAAGTTTGTTTGCCAAAAATTGTTTGATTGAGCTGAAAATGGATTAAACGAGTGGAAAAATTTAGCTCAATTTCGGAACTTTCGTTTTGGTGTTTTGTAATTATGTAGAAAATTTTATCACAATGTTTTGGAAATTGTACAAAAAAATCTTTTTAGAAAATTGTATGTTGAACTTAGAACTTGATTAGGTTTTTTCCTACGGAATCAACCCAGGTTCTCAAGTTAATCTCAATTATAGGGATATAAACAGTTTATGGAATTTTAAAAAATGGGGAACTGGTTGTATATAAAACAGAAAAAAAACTTTAATTTTGTTCCGTCCAGTGAAGATATGGAGAAATTTTGTGTTCGAAGGTTTTTTTGTTTTTTTTTTGTTTTTGACCTTCTACGCAAAATCAGTTACTATAGAAAAATCAGTTACTATAGACGGAAGAGGTCGGGTTATACAAATATTAAAGCCCTTCTAATCGAGATGCAGACGGCATTCAACTTTTGAAAAATTTCACCAGCGTCGAGGAAAACAATCTTGAAAGCTTTGATTATTGGTCTATTTCCGAGCTAATAAGTTGAGCGTGCAGGCTAACAATAGGTTTTTCATGCTTAATTACAGCCATGAAAACTTAGTTTTACTTAAATTAAATTAATTTTCGCACCATTTTTAGCACCATTTTGGGAATCCAAATCTGCAAAAAATTTAAAAAGATTCTGCAAAAAAGTGCAATTAAATTTTAACCATTTTTTGAAAAAAACGCTTGTCCAGGTGGCCTATTTTACCATGACTGTCGAGACTGCCTTGTTTTAATTTTTCTTTCAGATCTAGTTATCACCACCCAAAAAAAAACACGACACTAATTTTTTATGATTATGGTCCGAACATACTGTGCTACTTGCACAGTAACCGGCTATCTTTTTCTGCTTGAAATTTTGCTTGGTAGTAAATTTGACTGTCTAATACTCGGAACATGGCTGTAATGACTCGTGATTCACAAATGAACTATTGCTCCTTTATGAAGATCAACTATTTGGTTAAGAGACAGGCTCCAATCGGAACAAATAAGGTTTCTCCTTTTTCAACTTAAGGTTTTCACCTTGCTCGGTGCACTGTCGACAACACTGGGTCAATTGCACTTTTGACCTGTTATTAAAAAGAAACAAAATGAGCTCATATAGATTGATGGGTAATCCAGATTTAAGCTATCGATCTCCGTATGGCGCATTTTTCTGGGAATTACTACTTTTCGTCGATGAATAGATAACCTTTCTACACGTGCAATCTGTTCCTGACGTTCTTTCCAAATGCACCGTACAAGTATTCGAGGAAATTCAAATTATTCTTAAAAAGTTTACTAGAATGTTCCAAAGTTCGGTCTGTCTATTTCTAATCTGGACTGACTCAGGTCTACATGGTTAATACATTCCGATAAAATCGTAAAAATCAATCGCCAGCTCTATTTGTAGTTCTTTTTACTGGCCTTTTTTGTTCCTTCTCTATTTTGCGTTCGGCTCGTTTGGTTTCTGTCCCGTTTCTGCCAATTTGGATGGCTTTTTTTTTCAGTGTCTCCGCTAAACACTTCAGTTTGGAATGCCGTCCGGCTTCATTTCACGATTAACTGTCGTGCGTTTTTGATCTCCGCGTGGACTGCTCTTGTTGTGATGACTCGCCAGGAAAAAAATCATTTTTTGTCTATTTTTGTGGTTGTATTTCTTCTTTGCCATTCGGTTTCTGAACACTTTTATTCTCTGTTTAAATCGCTTTTTTATTTTTTTTTCGACGTGTTTTTGTCTTTTCTTTCATAATGATGTGCTTTGTTTCCGTCTTCTCTAAATCTTGCTGCTCGGGGTTGAATAAACCTTGAAGCAATCACAGTCGCGACCTTGCTTTTGCAGAAATTTATCATGTGATTTCACCACCAGTGGAACTCTGTCAAGTAGCAGTTCTTCATTTGGCATATGAAACTTGTTCTTGTGGTGTACTTGTTCTTTTTTTGCGCCTAGTGCTGGTTTGGCTGGTTGTTCTTTTTTGACTGTGACCATAATTGGGCTTATGAACTGTTTGCCTGAGCAATTGTCCATTTTAATGATTTCTTTTCTGGTCTTTCAACTGGTTTAGTTATTTTTCCACTCGTTAAAGAAAGACAATTGGTATTCAATTTCGTTCGTTAAAATTTTATAACAGTTTTTACCAATGGTTTTTTGCATTATGTGACTGTTCGTTTGACCGAATCAAACACACATTTTTTGATTTAACCTTGACCTAATATTTGATTTCTGGACCTGAAAATTCAGTTCATGCAATTGTTATTTTTTTATTATGCTTTGGCCTTTCCTGTATCGATTTGATATCAATTTTTTGGTCATGGTTTGTCTTATTTTACGATTGACTGAGTGAACTGTGCAATGTCCGAATACAAAAGCATGACTAGTCTTCCTTATGGTTGATAAATTCTCCATTCTAGCAAGTAAGG